TTAAAATCTAGTCCTAGTTTGTTTTAATCGTTGTTTAATTGTTATTGTCACTGCATGATGGTTTCATTTTATATTTTTATTTATTTTCTTGGAGAAAAAGTATGTAAGTGTGTAAGTGTCTGCCACTCTGGCTATGTCCACACTAGCCCGGATAAATTTGAAAACGGCGTTTTCATCTGAAAACACGTTTTCATCTGAAAACGCTCTGCATCTACACTATCATTTTCAGTCATTTTCACAGAGTTGTGGGTCCACTTTGAAACGGCCAAAAACGCTTACGTTCCAGTCCTGCGCATGCGTGAAGTGCAAGAAGATTCGGCCTGCCTCATTTCTGTCAGCCGTTTATTTACTTTCTGGCTCTTTGAGACGTCACGGCAAAAGGTCGAGGAAAAGCACCGAGTTTTTAAATGGACTAACAATGAGGTGGAGTTGTTGCTGCGAGTAACACAAAAGCACAAAGTTGCAAAAGCGAGTGAGAATTAAAGAATTTGAAGAAAAGCTATCTGGAGCATGTACAGACTGATATTAATCTTTAATAGGACTGTCAAAACTGAGAGCAAACAAAACAACTGCTGTATAATGCCCTCCTCTATCTTTGTTTAATTGGTCACGTGACTGCATCACATGACTAAAATGCGTCATCATTTTTGAAAAGGCTCCGGGTTCACTGTCCACACGGCAACACAAAAACGGCGTCTATCCGCTTTGGAGAGCGTTTTCAAAATGCTGCATTTTCCTTGACAGAAATCGTCGTCTCAGTGTGGACAGGAAGCCAAAACGGAGAGAAAAAGATGTGTTTACAAACGAAAACACATTAGTGTGGACGTAGCCTCTGTGTTAGCTCTGCCACAGACTGGTGACCTTCCTTGTAGCAGCTGTAATAAGCTCCAGCCCCCCTCTGTGACCCTGAATTGGAAGGAAATGAATACATTTAAATCAGTGCATACGGGGTAACAGCTACTGGCTGCCAGCTAACAGCAGATGTGAGCATCAGTGTTTTAACGTTTTTGAAAATGACCTGTTTCTGTTTCTGTTTGTGTCCACAGAGTCTTGCTGAACAGTTTGATTTACAATCCAAACCAAAGGTCAGAGTTCAAGCTGCTTCCCATAAGACTGCCTACCTACTTACACACGGTAAAACTTTCACCACACGTCCACTTCAGAGGAAGCTGTGCAAAATGGCCTCAGCTCCAAAAAAAGCAAGAATTAGCAATAACCCGTCTCCTGAATTGCATAAATTAAAGAACAAACTTGAAGATTCTGCAAAGTCATTCACTGCAGAGTTTGACAGGAGTGAATCAAGCATGAGAGATATTATGAGAGAGTTTAGGAGGATTTCTGATGAAGTAGAACAAATGCAGAGAAAAACTGACACGGCGAGAAAAGTGGGAGTTGGATTTCTTATTGGTGGGATCTTAGCAGCTCCGTTTACTGCAGGACTGAGTTTAGCTGCAGCTGCCGGAGGTGGAGCCACTGTTGTTACTACCAATGTAATAAAAATTCTGTCAGAGGAAGGAAAAGCAAAGAAAGTAGAAAAGTGGGGAGAAGAATTCATGGCCAAAGTCAGACCAATGAAAGAGAACCTGGAAGAAATAAAGACGATTTGTGAAAAGCTGGAAAAGGAATCAACTGAAGCTCAGGCCAGAGACTCTCAGATTGATGTGGACGAGTTTCAGAGGACCCTCAGACAGGTGTCGCACCTGAAAGAGATGAGTTCAGGACTTCTGGTTATAACTGAAATCCTGCTGGATGTTATGGGCAACGTGGTAATGCTCATCAAGAAAGTCATCAGAGTGACTGCGACTCCTGAAGAAGATCAAAAGTTAAGAGACGCCATCAAAAAGGCAGCTGATCAGAGTCAGAAGATCATTGAGGAGTTTCATAAGATGAGAACAAAACTGAAAGAGTTTACATCAAAAGAAAAGTAAAGTCACCTCCACCCATCCCCCCCCTCCACCACCCTGTGAGCCTTACTGTTCACACTGACTAACCAATAAAGTTTTATTAATAAAGGATCATCAGACTTTGACCTGGACTGTATAAAGGACTTGTAGAGTCCTCTGTTCATAGACTGGATGTTGTTGTATATTCATGTAAAGCTGATCCACAGCAGCCTGACGTCACAGAGAGGTCGTATGAAGAGGATCCACAGCCTCACAAAGAGCTGCTTTCCTCCATGTTCTCTGCTAATCTCACATCAAACTCATTTCACAGTGTGGGCCACTTACAGCCCACTTTGATCTTCAGTGGGTTGGACCAGTGAAACCCTCCTTTCTGTCAATGTAAAGAAGCTTAACTGAACATTTAATCACTGAGATATATTAACATAAGAAAAAAAGGGTAATTTCAACATTATGTCTTTTTAATTTTCGTCCTAAAAAAAGAATTCTCCTGTATTAAAAAAAGATATCCGCCAGCATGACTCTTTGGACTTAAATTGTAAGAAATAAATCTGTAAAATTACAAGTTCTGGTAGGTCATTGATTAGTTGTTGTTTATTATTATAATGGGGGAGGCTGGAAAAGCTGTAAAACTAAAACAAACAAACAAAACAAAAACATTGTTGTTTTTGTTTTGTTATGTAAGGTGTGACTTTCCATAAAGTTAAAAGTCCAAAAACTATGCCCTCCCTCATGTTTTCCATAACCATACAGTGTTGGCTGATTCTGGCCCCTCCCAGCCTGATGTTGACACCCCTAATCAACACCATTTATCTGACAGTTTTTACTGCACTTTTAATATGACTGAACTCTGAGCTTCATCACTGACTGTTTTTATTTTCACTAGAAAAGTTATGTTCATGTATTTCTTCCTTTATAGAATCACAGATTAATATTTGGGCTGAAATATGTTTTGGGTGTTGTTACAGTTTCCAAAGGGAGAGTTAATGCTTTAATGTCTCTGTTATGAGAGCTTTATTACTCTTATTTTTAATGAATCATGGTGACAGTTTGTGTGTCTATGTTTGATTTTTCCTTTTGTCTTTGTGTTTGAGGTTAGTGTTTAGATCTCTGCTCTTATTTCAGAGCTCTTTGTAAACTTTGTTTAAAAAAAAGTTATATAGACCAATAATCATTAATCAGAAGCTTTTATCCTGTTCTATGTGAACTATTCAGATGAAGCTGAATCCCAGCTGGAAGTGAAGAACAAAACAGTGTGTGTGTCAGTGCTAATGCTTTCCTCTCATTTTGTTTGTCCTGGTTAGAAATAACGAGAATCTGAGACGGGAGGCCTGACAGAGGTTCACTTTCACCTCAGTTAAAGTCTCTTTATTACAAGTTCATCAGCTAATGACTCTGCATGGAAATGTCCTTAAACTTTACTGTCTGGAGCTCCACCCTTTGGATAAACAACTATTACAACCAATAAGAGACTTTTCAGTCTCCATAAGTCAGGTTATTGATTGTCTGAAGCTGAACACATTAGACACCAGGGAACCATCCTGCTATGTGTGACACATCTGCTATGGTTTTTGTCCTGTCTCTAATTTGTGCCTTAATCTTCCCTCCTGAGAGAGGTGTAGGTGCTCCATGTTGAAAGATGTCTCTGTTCCTAAAATGAATCGGGATTAGAGAAGAGGCAGCAGGACGACCTTTGTTGATGGCGACTCAAGTAAAGACTCAACACTGAATTTTATCAAGGTATTATTGTAACTAACCAAGACTTTATGCAGCTTATTCCTGTGCACGACAGATTACTCTATACAGGTTATGGAGCACGCCTCCGAGCGTGCCCGTCACTAACGCTACTGCGCACAGAGCTCCAAACCACTCCAGTATTGGCAATTTATGGAACAGACCGGTGGTTCATTACAAGCTTTACTACAGTGTGCTGGGATGGTTAAATGGCTGTATCGATGGCTTTGACCAGTCATGTGATTTAATCAGAGCTTCCTATTCCGGATGTCATCAGTCACTTGTAATGATCCATACCGAAGCAAGCTTTGAAGCAGTAGTAGTTTGAAGCCTCTAGAGATCGCCTGGGGATTATTTCCCTCCATGGATTATTGATATATTTTTATTCTGTGCCATACTCTCATTTATTCTCCTCGGTAATAAACAGGTGAGCAGAACTCTTATTAGCCGCTGTCTCTGAGAATCAGGCCTTTTGATCGGTGTGAAACTTTGACTTTTTATGATCTTAGCATTACTGTCCCCATCATTTTTACTTTACATGAAGTTTGGTTGGGTGGGTGCTTGATGGCTTTACAGCGGGGCGCTGCTGCTTTGCCCTTCCTTTCTTATTGTTATAATTTCTCTTCTGAATAGTGACGGAGTGGGCACAAAATGGCTTTAGAGTCTGCTCTCTGTCTCATGGACAACCAACCTGGACTGGTGTGGTGGCCCAGGATGTTTGATTTTTGTGCAAAGTTGTTTTCCACTTTTCATATGGTGTTTGTGTCTCATGCATGAGGGATATGTGTGTGTGTCACACGTGTATCCCCCCCCCCCACACACACACACAAAAAAAGCCGGGGGACTGGGGACTATGGCGGTTTTTGTTTGTCTGTTTGTGTGTTTGTTTTTACATACATAAGACTCAAACACTATAAATTCAAACATCCTAGCTGAAGGCAAACATAGATGCTGTATGTTCTTTTTCATTCTCATAGTGATGAGACCTTTGTCATCCAACTCTGTTAAAGAGCAATTTAATTCTTCTCCTAAACTTCCTGGCAGAATAAATAAATGGTTTGTGTACTATGAATGCTTTCAGATCATCTCACCCCTCACATGAACAAAGTTTGGATCCAGTTTTCTCAAAATGGCCTGCAACGAAGAGTGAGCAAGGACTCAAGTTGCGTCACCAAAACAACAACACATAGCGGGACAGCGAAGCAGCCGGCAATTTCACTATGTTTTTGGAAAGTCGAATTTCTTTTATGTTTATGGTAAGTTATTGATTCTAAGATGATCCTGGATTTAGCTAAAATTACACAAGACTGAATAGTTCATTTAACCCTTTTACTTTATGGTAAATTATGGTAAATTATGGCCCCTGCACATCGTCACCGGTCTTCTAGATCCAACAATGTCAATAATTAACCTCATTACTTTCCAGGTGTTTTTGTTTTGTATCCTCACGCAACCTTTACAATATGTTGTGGTTTGTGAAACTACTTTATTAAAACATATTACTTCATCCAAAATAAAACAAGGAAGTATTGTTTTATATTTTAAATCGTGGTAGAATATTTCTTAATAATAGAAGAAGACTAGAATAGAATAATACTTTAATTGTCCCACAAGGGGAAATTTGGTTGTAACAGCAGCAAACGACACATATATAAACAGAACAGGACACAGGACATAGAACAGAACCACACAAAATTTTTACATATTTACATCATGGATAATAGTTACCAAAACAGTACTGTACAGTTAATCAAATTAAAGTACAATAAAACATGTTATAACTTTATGTAACTGTATATGTATAACAATGGGAAGTTTGTGTTTAAGAAGTTCTGCACAGTGTAACTTTTTTTTGTTATAACAAAAGTAAATAAATGAGAGAAAAATACAGCCCACGAGCAGAGTAAAAAACAACAAACCTCATCATGTACTGGATGCATGTTTGTGACTTTTCATTCTTGGTGCTGCAGCTTATCCCAATGAGCAAAGTGACACAAACAATATGACCTACATGTAGATAGAAGTAAACACATAAACAAGCAATACCAGGTACAAACCTCTTTCTTTTTACATTTAAATAAGAGTCTCCTCTAAAACTAGTCTGTACAGGGAATGTTTGAGCCATAAAACATGTTTGCGTCTGTATTATGACAAAACTCTAAAGAACAAATTTTTTAAAAAGTATCAGTATTTTTTGAAGAGACTTACTAAATGAAATTTTGCTGTTGAAACAGCGTCAGGTTGTCTGTGGTGCCTTTCTACATAATCGTGGTCATTTTACAACATTTCTCGATAGAAGTCAAACTGGGTAAAGGCCAAAATAACAATAAAAATTCAATGTAAAGAAAAATGACCAAAGTATGACACAGACCAGTTAAACAAAAACAGGACAAATAACAGACCAAGCCCACAACATCACACAAACCAACAAAGTCCGCATTCCTAAATGAACGTGTCGGTACTTGTTCGGACTGGAGAGAGATGAATGCGTGTAGGTTTATCATCACTGAAAGCACGAGTCCTGTGTTAGCTGGTAAAATGATATATGTATATAGATATAGTACATCGTTACACATTTGTACACAGTCTCACACAGCTCTTGTTAGTCGTACTGTATGAGTGGCCTGGCTTGTTTGCTATATCCAATAAGAATGGATAATAATAATAATGCAACAGGCAGCCACTCATCATTCTTCTGCAGAAGAACAGCTCCAAGCCCACTCTCTGATGCATCTGATGAGATCTTAATAGGTCTCATTGGATCATAAAACTTCAGAACTGGTTCCTTTGTAAGCAGATCTTTCAAGTCACGCCATGCTTTCTCATGTTCATGATTCCACTCCCAT